GCCCCACAGACCTGTTTCTACAAAGGCTCCTTCTACAGGAAGGCATGTGTGGGTGGCTTCGTTCCAAAGCCCCACACCACGATGCACACTAACAGAAGTCTAGGGATGACCCCACTCAGTTCCCTTAGGACCACATGAACTAAGGCCCAGACAAACAAAGTGACCTACTCAGAGCCACACAGCAAAATAATGGCAGAGTCAGGACTAGAAACGAGCAGTCAGCCTGATCCATTTCCCGGGAGATTCTTAAGCCCTTGTTACACAGAGGGAGAATGAAACAGGTTTCTCCTTTCTGTTAAAAGCTCTGTGTGAGTCTCCCAATTTGGAGCAATCTGCCCAAGCTTGAACCATCTTTCTCCACATGTCCATAAAACAACACATTTAAGTGCAGCTGGGCAGCGGGGAGACTGCGAGCCTGGACACCCAGGGGCAAACAACAGGAGCAAAAACCGCTCCTGTCTGGAGCAAAAGGATTACAGAAGGTCAGATGCCAAAGATCAAGAACAACACCATATTGTCAGAGACAGCTGGAACCGAAAGGTCAGAACTAACTGGTAGTGTTGAAAACTTGATTCTGTTTCCCCAACGCTGTAATTACAACCAGGGGATGGCCACAGTGCGTCCAGCTCCACTCTCTACCCTCCAGAATATTTTTAGTTTGACCAAAGCCCATTTTTGTTTTGATTTGCTCTATTTGGGGATTTCTACTTCATGTGACATGTCTACTTTATGTTATAATCTTCATAATTACTTGGAAGGGAAATTTAATTCATTCATATCGGATGCCCACAAAAGCTAAATTTCAGTCATTTTCCATTTTTAAAAGAAGGGTGTGTTTAAAAAACAACTATATTTGAGCCAAAAAAAACTAAATAGGACATCAGCTCAGAACCCATTAAATGCTGTTACTCTGAAAACTCTCAAAAATTCCCACTTATTTCTTCCCCCGAATAAATAATGAAGGTTGTACAGGTTCATAAGTCTAAAACAAAGAAACTAGATGTGAAAAAAAAACACCAAATTTGGAAAGGCTTCTACTGATAGGTGAGCTCCCAAACTTGCCAGCTTCCTTTAGTCGTCTTAGAGGAGCAAAGGCCTCCAACAATCCAAAAAGGGACAGGAGAGAAGGGAGAAAAACATATGCACCGCAAAATGAGAAAATGTATACATATCCCCCCAAAATGAGCATTTAAACTGCTTGTCAGCTGGCTTCCTGACAAAGCCACTAGAGTGTATTCACAGCATTTGCATAAATGCTGCCGGTGAGTTCACCAGCGCTGCTAGCGCTAATGGTACATAAAGTAATTTAGTCACTTCTCCCAGCGTTCTGTGTCAGGATGATGAGCACCGGCACTCTGCCTTGTTGCATATTAGATCATTAGATAATAAAGTGTTAGCGCATGCAAGCTGACAGGGTCTCTGCACTCTCGCGTGGTGAGGCCACCACATTTTGCCACAGGGGAAGAAATAGAGAAACTGATGCCCCAGCTGGCCTTAGCTTCAAGTAAACACAACCTGAAACTCAAGGAGAACCACAATGGCCACCACACTTCCCCACCCCTGCAAAGCTCCCCAGTGCTCAGTCCCAAGTCACAGGAGGACAAGGCAAGCGGACACCCTAGTGCTGTCCATCCTGCGGGAGGCCACAGTGCAGCTCCCTTGGTCCCAAGGCCCTGCCTTTTCAAAACCTAGAACCCTGAGAGCAGTTGCATTTCAAGGCTGTCTCTCTCTACAACTGTCCATCTTTCATACAGCTACTGCTTAAAGGAGAAGCCTCACTAAATGCTGCCATAAATATCCAGCCCAAGAAAATCCCGGTATTCATGAATGAAGAAAATGGGAGGGGAAGGGGGGAATTACCATGAGCGACTGTGTGCCAAGATTCCCCCTCATTAGGCCATGCGAGTTGCTACAAAATAAATTCACCTTTGTCAAGCCTCATACGCGAAATACAGGGACATTTATCTGAGCGTGGGGGCTTTGAGCCCAAGGGTCACTCAGGGAAGACTGTGCACAATGTAAACCATGATCTTGTCTCCACTTATACACAGAAAGATAAGCCACGAAAGGAACATTTCTCCAACAGTCTGACAAGCAGGATATAAATAGAGATGTGCAGAGCTGCTCAAAATAATTCAGGCTACCTGTAAATGAGGTGGTAAAAAGCCCAGGAAGGGGGAAAGTGAAGCTTGCCACAGGTCTCCAGGGGTGAACACGCTTTGCAGACTATGCTGTCTGAGGCAGGGCGGGAGTGGAGAGACTCAGGGGCGAATGATTCAGAAACAAGACATTTGAAAGCAGGATTTTTCAGTGGTGAGATCCAGCATCACTCTCAAACCAACATGAGTTAGCAATGAGATCCACTCCCACACATTACCCATGAAAGAGTTCAGCAGTTACCCTTTGCTGAGTAGATATTTATGCATCAGCTTGAAGTGTCTAAACGAGTGGGTGGTTATGTGTGGTTAGTCGATTCACTGCAGAGGAACGGGTTTCTGTGTTACTGTACCATCACTGCATCATCACTAAGATCTAAACACGTCTGCCCTTTCATTCCACTGGAGAGAAGTCCAGTAAGTCTTTGGGCTGAATGTGGAGACACAAACTGAGGGACAGGGGACACAGTCATGCCCTCCAACAATGGCTAATTACTATGTAGTGAAATGTCACCTTTTCTTGAAGACTGTCTTAATATGGCCAGGGTGCGCTGGTAAACTGAAGCAAAGGAAGAAGACACTGCCATTAAAATTTGGAGCAATCTGCCACCTCAGCTAAAATATTAACGTGTGCTGCTAGAGAAGAGAGTCCTGGAGCTGGAGGAACATTCAGAGCTGTTTCCAATCAGGGTCGCAAGCAGCCTGCATGCATTCTTTCTAAGTGCCCCTCTCCCTCCAGCTCCCTTCAGGGTTCAAACACTTTGTAATTATTTCTCAACCATGAAACATTACAAGGGTTTGAACCCTTAGCAAACACCTGGCCCCGCGGGTTTGCTTTCCCCTTAGGCTCCGGCTGGCTTGGGGCAGTGGAGCGTGCACCTGTGTGTCCTCAGTCTCCACCTAGCCCACTTCCGCTACCAACACTACCTGCTCCCACCCAGAACACAGATTCGATTTTTCTTTTTACCACCCCACAGATCACCTTCCTTTTTACCAAAACGGAAGTCTGGTATCTGTAAAGCTAAGGTAATTTGTCCAGGAGCACACAGAGGCCATAGTGAAAGGAAGAACTGAATCTAGGTCTCCTGATACCTATTTTGAGACCGAGTCCTACACACCACACTTGAAAATAATGCTACAGAGCTCCACCCGCTAGGAAATTCTTTCTGGAGGACTGTATTATATTTGCTTGCTTTAGATGTTGTTTTGCTGCTGCTGCTTTTGTTGTTGTTACTGTTGTTGTTGGAGGGGTAATTGACATGGTATCATAATCTCTTACAGGTTTCCTGACATAGAAATGAGAGACACATGTGGCCTGCGCTTGGAGTGTCTCTAAAACTGTACACTCCACAGACTTCAAATTGATGGTTAAATTTGTCCCCTGGGTAGAGCAAAACCACTGCAACTACTCAGTCACAATAAAAAATGTAACCTCAGTTCCTAATCCGGGGGCCCTGACATTGTGTCCACTGTTTACCTAGCTCTTCTTCCTTTCATCTAAACACCTTTAGTCAGACAGTGCTTTAAGTGTCTCCAAAGGTATTAAAAAGGCAACATTACTTTAAAGCGAGTATCGGAATAATTTTAAGTACAGAAATGGAACTAGGAATGTAATCATGAGCAGGTGTTTCAAATGGCCTCCTGCAAAAAGTAATATCCATCCATCTCAGCACTAATGAAACCATAAAGAAGCAGCTTTTGAAAGATGATGGTTTCCTTTAAAGGACTGTAAACCTGGATGTGGTGAAGAATTCCTTCTAAGAGTGTTACATCTGGCTAATTAAGAAAATGTACTATTTGTGCATTCCTCAAGCACGGGGACAAAACCAGCAAAAATGATGACAGTGGTATATTTATTACATTGGGATGCTGGCAGGGAAAGGAGTTTTCTACCTGATGAATTATATCATGGACAGCTTGTGGTCCATGGAAAAATCAGGCAATCAGGTGATGATTTGTGTGGCTAGTATTCTCAAAGAATCCTGCTGACCTAGCAAGTTGGAAAATGAATGGAAGGAAACGGGTTAAGAGTTTAACTAGAGGAGATTACAGAAAGTGTAGCATGGAGACTGGTCTCCAGTAGAATCTCAGTCATTGATTCTTGGATGGACAGACGGATGGATGAATGGATGAAAGGAAAGATGGATTTGTTATATAGACATGCAACAGAGGAATATTTAGACATGCCCTCAATCCAACATATGTTTCTGCTGAGTAGTATTCACTACCTTTGGAAATAAAATTTTATCTGATTTCCTCTAGTCCTCTCATAGGCATCACAGATTTACCCTAATGCTCAAGAAGAACATGATTTCTCCCTACCCAAGTCTACCTCCATAAAGCAAGCTCTGTCAAATGGCTATGAGGGGAGGGCCATATATGGAGCACAGGAGGACGTTTGGCCTGAGTGTCACATTTAGAACACACTTCTAACCCCGACTTTGGACCTGATCTCCAATCAGATTCAACAGGTAGTTACGCAGGTGCACCAGCAGGTTTCTATGGCCTTTTCTGATTTTCTGTAAGGCCTGACGCTTCCTTATTTTGTAGTCAAATGACAACTTAAAGCAGTGCTTCAGGTCTCTTTCTCCTCACAGCCAGAAGGAAAGAGGTATCAACCATTCCAGAGCCCTGCAACAAAAATAGACGGGGCCTCTAAGACCATCTCCCTGTCTTTAAATACCTAGAATCTTATTTGGAGGACTAAAAAGCCAAAATGATCAATACTGTTCAAAAGGACATTCGGAATTTGAAATAGTAGAAAATGTGGTGGAGTGGAAGAAAGAAACCAAATAAATTCACAGTTAAAGTAACAATGCCAACCAATGAAAATGATTCGCCTACCATGTTCCAGATAAGAGGGCGTACCTTCCGAGGGGTCAAGCCTCCGAGCCCTCCGCCCATGCTTTGAGTTATTATGAACAAACATGTTATCAGAGACTGCCAGGACATGGCCATCCACGTTGACTGTTGTAGACACCACGACCTAGAGACATGAGAGAAAAATGAATGAACATTTTAATATAAAAGCATGGTGGGTAATAAACTCAAGTTAAATAAATAACAGCTGGGAGCTGAAGAAAATTGCATAGCTATTTCACATAATAACTGGTGCTTATGCTGTACAACTCTAACAAGAGGAGCTATTGATGACTGGGTCTTTGGCATGGAACGCTTTTGATGCAGTTTTAAGTAAAATTGCACAGTTTATAGTTATACAGCAGAAGGTACACTGTTAACCATAATTTTAACAAGAGGATCTTTATTAGCATATTTTTTTTACACAAGGGTGGTTGTGTTTCACCTAAATTACCCTTCAGTTTAGACGCTGAAGCAGATATCACAGTTGATCATGCAAATAAAAGTCTTTTGAATCTTTAAAATATTTGCTCCCCACTGCGTCAGGGTGAAAAGGATAGAGAAACAAAAAGAGAGAGTTCAGTGAGAGATGGGATGCATTTTGCTCTCCTGGGTGTCTCATCGAGATTTCTTGTACTTTTTGTTCTTCCCATGTTAGTTTGATTAATCAGACCAAAATCCCCCTCAACACTATCACCTTCATGCCCCCATAAAAAAAAAAAAAAAAAAAAAAAAAAGCCCTGTTCATTGAGGGTCTTAGATCTGTTGCAAGGAAAAAAAAATTATGAGACTGTCCCAACCAAGGCCTCGTGTGGATACCCAACCCATCTCATCAGCTGACTCTGGGTCTGGTTTGCCAGAAGGGAGCAGGGCGAAGGTGGCATCAGAGAGTGAACTTTGATGGAAACAATGAGCAGAAATGACCTACACTTCTCCTTATGTGAAATGGGGAAGGAGATTAACACTGAAACCCACAGAGATATGTTTATTCATGTGACCTCTTACAACCAAATATAATAATTGTCTGTAATTGCAGCCTCAGCTCCCACCTCATGCTTTGACACGAGGAACAGCAATCAGCCAGCTCCCGTTTAATCCACCTATTATGTTGACTAATTAACTTTGCCCGACAGTTTATTTCTTCCTCCATTATCAGCCCCTGTCAGCCGCAAGCACCCTGCAGCATAGGGGAAACCTCCGGCTCTTTGATTGATCACCAATAGATTGACATGCAGATTAATTTAATTAGAATCACCTCACTTGAGAAATGAAAGACAATGGCAAGAGGGCTAATACATCTGCTCTCATAATGAGGCGAGCCTCCAGAGCGAAGGCTGAGGATTTCTGATTTATTTTGCTCAATTCCCCAGTTACTCGGGAAAGATTCTAGCTTTAATTGTTCTTGGTTTTGAGAGGCATTAGCCTCGGAAGAGGTGAACTGCTTGACAAAGGTTGGCACAAACAGAGGCCTCAGTTTCTAGAGTCTTGTGTAACACAGTGGTTTTATCCCCTGATGGGCCCTGGAAAACGTCAGGATTTGGCCCCTGCCTGGAACATGTCAGCTCTGCCTGGCAAAGTGCTCCTCTCTTTCAGACCCAATCCTTACCAGCCTCGCCCTCAGGCAAAAATTCCACCGTCTCTCTGGCTTACCAAATGCATCCTAGAAATACAATCCCCTTCCCTGGAGCCTCAGAGATGGCAATGAACTAAAAAACGTGAACATGTGGCTCATGGTGTATCATTGGCTGATTTTATTTCTAACTCGATTTTATTAAAATGCATAGTAAATAACTGAGAATCTGTCCCAGAGCCCAGGCTGTTCTGCTTAGTCATTGTAAAATCCAAAGTGCCATCTAGAACACATCATTCACGGGAAGGAATGGAAGGGTCTCCTGGCAACTTGCAAGGTGGTTCTCCTGTTTATTCATGACTGACCAAGCAGGTCTGCCAATCTGAAGCTGATATGTACGCTTCATCAACTGTAGCTTAATTTAAAAGCAGGAGGAAGGGTGTGTGGGGATGGGGGTGTCCTGTTATTTTCCAAAACCATTAAGTGCCTTGGCAGTGTCAATATCACCTTTTCTTTTTGTTAGGGAGATGACTCTGTAGGACAGTAACAATTATGTAACAGGGCTAGGTCTTTCAAAGAAATTTTGATTTACTACAAGACCACATTTGAGTGGTCACTGGAGTCGTCAGTTGAAGATACTATAAAAGGAATGTCAAACGGTATCTGTTTCCAGGGTCAGGAAATAGAAAGTGGTTATTCTAGAAGTCTGTCTAAAAAGAAGAAAGCCATGACATTTCAGCGTGCACCTGTGAGGCACAAGGCTACAAACTTATGGATTAAAATAGTATCTTTTAAAAACACTGTCATCTAATTCCTAACATTGAACAAAAATGTGCAAAAACGGTTAAGGGGAGAGAAAACATACCTTACATGTTTTTCTCTCTGCTTAGTGAGAAAAGGGCCACCAGAGCCACCTGTGAAACAGATTTGCTCATGAGGCCATTCAAAAGTGGAGAAAAGATCACACAGAGTCCTGTGCCCTTGGCTCAAAATTTCACAGGACAACCTCACTACCCCAGAGTAATCTCCCCTGCTCCAATTTGAAAGGATTTAAATAAAATATGCTGCTATCAATCCACAGAATGACTAATAGATTTAAAAGAAAGAAATTTGTGAGATTTAAAAGAAATACTAAAGATGCCTTTAAAATTGGGCCAATGGCAGGAGGGAAGAGGGCTTTTATAGTCCAGGGCAGGATTAATGAGGTGCTGGCACATGCCTGTGGTCAAGGGGACAGACAGATCTGCCATGCCTGCAGCCTCCCCAAATTGTGTCAATAAAACACAGCTTGAATATGGGACACATAAACATAGAAAATGATTTTACCTTTGGATTCAGGCACCTTTAATCCCCTTTCTCATGCCTCTGTCCAAAGAATGAGATGATGGGACCATGACGAACAGGTATGTTTACAAATCATACAGTGTCTGTTATAATTAAATCTTTACTCTCCAGGACTGTACTGAGAAACCCAGCACAACCATGTGGCTATTTACATTTAAACTAAGCAAAATTAAAATTCCACTTTTTGGTCTCAATAGCCACATTTTGAGGGCACTGTAGCCACAGGTGGCTGGTGGCTACTGTAGTGGACAAGACAAACAAGACATGTCCTTCCTTATAAAGTGCTCTGTTGACCCTAGAATGATTTTGCAGTAATTTGTGTCAGTTGATTCATGAAGATAAACCATGTCTCAAGGTATAACTCCTGAAATAAATATGGCACAAGTACACAGGTTTAAGATTGTATACATGTACACTTTCGTTGCTGTATTTTTTAGAATCAAATTTCTATTGGGGGTGGCTCTGATTTGTAATACAGTAGTCCAATAACACACTAGTTAGCAGTCAACATGCTCCATAATACCTTCGATCTGACTCCCATCCTCTAGGTGAGGGCATTTGGTGGAAGGGGTACCAACAACAGAAGCAAAGTCTATGGCTCCCTGAAGACCTTCAAGATTTTACACTAATATTTTCCTCTCTTGCTTCATGATCAGTGATTCAGAACCTGCTCTGTTGTATAGTTCCCTGGATGCACATGTCCCTAAAGGTTATTAGTTTTATCACCTACCCCCTTCTATTTAGAATTTGAAAGAATTAGGCACAAATAGATGGTGCTTGGCTCCCTAGATCTCTTAGCTGATGTGACTCTGGCCAGGTAAACTCAACCTCTCCGAGTCACCGTGTTCCTGACTCTTAGCTGAGAATGACAGTGACACTGAACTCCGAAGGTCACTGTGAGGCTGAGCACATCAAAGTCGCCTGGTTGGTTCCTGGTCCATATCAAGAGCTCCTACAGATCGTAGCAGCAATGTGATAGTGTCATTTTGCCAGTGATGTCGAACAAAAACTTCAAAAGAAAGTGCCGGAGTGATAAACTAAAGCATTGCCTCTTAAAGGACCCAGCATAAACAGTTACTTACAAAAAAACAATAGAAAATATTTCTCCTGTGCTCACCAATCAATGCAACTTTCCAATTTTAAAGACCTTTATCCTCAGTAGCACAATGTCCTACAGGATAGGTCTCTTAGACACTGCAATTCTCACTGATTTGAGTAATTTTGTTTTCTAGAATGTTTCTCTACCTGAGGCTGTTACATTGTAGACCTGAAACTGAATGAATCCTTGCTGCTTTGAAATCCATCTTTAAATCAGACATCTTATCATTTTATTCTGGGTTTTCCAGTAGCTCTCATCAGCAAGGTTTTGGTATTGATTCATTTCACAGCCTGTCCATCTTCCCTTGATATCACACAGGAGGCCTTATAGGTTCTAGCTATGAAATCTAGGAGTCAGGGAAGAGAACCTCTCGTGACTGTCTTTCCAAAAAGTGGCTCAACCGATCACGAATAGATTACCTGAAGCAGCAGCCCACGTGGAGGAATGAGTTACGACAAAAGCAACCAAAAGACTTGAAAACTATATCTTTGCACATTTCCCCAACAGATATAGAGCCAGAGGAAAGATTAACCTTTACAAATATTTCCAACCTTTAAATTTGTAAGTTGACAGTAAATACCTCCCTCTAGAAAATAACCACTTCAGTAATTTAATTTTGAGTAACTAGTAAAGAATTACAAATCTTGGTTTGCAGTGCTAACATGTGGAAGCTCAGTAGGAGCTTAGTAGTAAAGTTGGCTCATTCCATGATTGCTTTACCTCTGAGTCCAGCTCATTTTATTTTTGTATTAATTCAGAGCCCTTAATAATAAGACTAAAATCAGTAATTTGAAGTACATGAAATAGCCACTGAGCTATTACATGGAACAGCACATAGCAGTTAAAAAATACAAACTATCAACTTGTCTGTTTTAATCTTCAAAGAAATATGTCGAGTGAAAAAAAAGCCAATGCTGAGGTTACAAGCTACATTTCATGGACTGCCCCCCAAAATTCAAAGGTAAATCTCTTCTCCCCAGTACTTCAGAACGTGACTGTACTTTGAGACAGGACTTTGATTACATTAAAACAGTGCCATTGTGGTGGTCTTTAATCCAATCCTGCCAGGGTTTGGGTAAAAGGAGAAAATGTGGGTTCTAACAGGAGGAGACAA